CCGTCATCATGCCTGCATCCTGTTGTGATCACCTACATTACGTTGTCATCACTGCCTGCATCCCATCACGACTGCCTGTCTCCTGTCATAATCATCTGCATCCTGTCATTGAAGCCTACATCCCATCATTGAAGCCTACATCCTCATCATCTCCTACATTCTGTCATTGAAGTCTACATCCCATCATTGTAGCCTACATCTCGTCATTGAAGCCTACATCCCTCATGATCTCCTACATTCTGTCACTGAAGTCTACATCCCGTCATTGTAGCCTACATCTCGTCATTGAAGCCTACATCCCTCATGATCTCCTACATTCTGTCATTGAAGTCTACATCCCGTCATTGTAGCCTACATCTCGTCATTGAAGCCTACATCCCTCATGATCTCCTACATTCTGTCATTGAAGTCTACATCCCGTCATTGTAGCCTACATCTCGTCATTGAAGCCTACATCCCTCATGATCTCCTACATTCTGTCATTGAAGTCTACATCCCGTCATTGTAGCCTACATCTCGTCATTGAAGCCTACATCCCTCATGATCTCCTACATTCTGTCATTGAAGTCTACATCCCGTCATTGTAGCCTACATCTCGTCATTGAAGCCTACATCCCTCATGATCTCCTACATTCTGTCATTGAAGTCTACATCCCGTCATTGTAGCCTACATCTCGTCATTGAAGCCTACATCCCTCATGATCTCCTACATTCTGTCATTGAAGTCTACATCCCGTCATTGTAGCCTACATCCCTCATGATCTTCTACATCTCGTCACTGTAGCCTACATCCCTCATGATCTTCTACATCATGTCACTGTAGCCTACATCCCTCATGATCTTCTACATCATGTCATTGAAGCCTACATCCCGTCATTGAAGCCTACATCCCTCATGATCTTCTACATCTCGTCACTGTAGCCTACATCCCTCATGATCTTATACATCTCGTCACTGTAGCCTACATCCCTCATGATCTTCTACATCTCGTCACTGTAGCCTACATCCCTCATGATCTTCTACATCTCGTCATTGTAGCCTACATCCCTCATGATCTTCTACATCTCGTCACTGTAGCCTACATCCCTCATGATCTCCTACATCTCGTCATTGTAGCCTACATCCCTCATGATCTCTTACATCTCGTCATTGAAGCCTACATCCCTCATGATCTTATACATCTCGTCACTGTAGCCTACATCCCTCGTGATCTTCTACATCTCGTCATTGTAGCCTATATCCCTCATGATCTTCTACATCTCGTCATTGTAGCCTACATCCCTCATGATCTCCTACATTCTGTCACTGAAGTCTACATCCCATCATTGTAGCCTACATCACTCATGATCTTCACATTCTGTCATTGAAGTCTACATCCCGTCATTGTAGCCTACATCAATCATGATTTCCTACATTCTGTCATTGTAGTCGCCATCCCATCATTGTAGCCTACATCTCATCATTGAAGCCTACATCTCTCACGATCTTCTACATCTCGTCATTGTAGCCTACATCCCGTCATGATCTACTACATTCTGTCATTGAAGTCTACATCCCGTCATTGTAGCCTACATCTTGTCATTGTAGCCTACATCCCTCATGATCACCTACATCTCGTCATTGTAGCCTGCATCCCTCATGATCTTCTACATCTCGTCATTGTAGCCTACATCCCGTCATGATCTCCTACATTCTGTCATTGAAGTCTACATCATGTCATTGTAGTCACCATCCCATCATTGTAGCCTACATCTTGTCATTGTAGCCTACATCCCTCATGATCTTTACATCTCGTGATTGTAACCTACATCCCTCATGATCTTCTACATCCCTTCATGACTACCAATGTCTTTGTCCCATCATCATTGGCTACATCTTGTTGTGATCACTTACATCGCATCGTCCTCGCTGCCTACATCCCGTTGCTATTGCCTTTATCTTGTCATGATGTCCTACATCCCGTCGTTGTTGCCTACTTTTGCGCAATCCCCTACATTCCATCGTTGCCTACATCATGTCGTAATAGCCTACATCCTATTGGCTACGCCTACCTCCTGTCCTTGTTGTCTCCTGGGTCCAGCCGTTGTCATCCATGCGCCGTCTACGTGGCCTACATCTTGTTCTGATCACGTACAACCTGTCACGGTCGCCTACATACCGTTGTCATCAGCTACTTGAGCTGCGTCTCTCTGTACTTGACATTTGGTTGGTTTGTAAAGTCCAGACCAGGTCCGTGTCAGAGGCCCTCTAATGCCAAATGTCCCCGTATGACTCCACATTTAAAAAGTTCAGCGATACAGACAGACATGTCCCCTTGGCTCTGTGGTTGGGTTCAGGTCTTAAAAGGTGAAGCACAGTTCAGGTCTGCGTTCTTTGATTTGACTCATTTGACTAAAGTCAGTCTAAAGTCATGACAGCGTCCCCTAGAGGCTGCACTACACATCACAGCAAAAACCTAAAAGTCTCGGACAGAAGGAAAAAGAAACTGATGATTTATTTGTTTGAATGTAAAGTTTGTCCTGAGCCACAAAAACAAGATTCACTTTATAAAGTGTTTAGCTGCTCAGGTGATTTTCTTTCTTTTTTGTCACATGACATACTGATGAGAGGAGAGCCATGACTTTAAAACTCAGCTTCAGCTGTGTGAAATGACGACTCGCGAACATTTCCACTTCCACTAACTTCAACGTTCACTTCCTCATTCTGTGATGTGCAGGTTTGCTCCCCTGAGCTCACCTGGACTCACTGACAGGAAGTGAACTGGCGTTAACCTGCAGAGACCGTAACGTCAGGGAGGTCCAACACACACCTGACAGGTGGACTGTGGCTGGTGGTGTGTGTGTGTGTGTGTGTGTGTGTGTGTGTGTGTGTGTGTGTGTGATGGATCATGACGGGGGACAGGTATGATGAAGAGGAACAGGTACAAGCTTCAGAGCAGCTTCAATGGTTTAATGAGACACATGTAGGCAACACAGACAAGCAGCAGCCCTCATCCTCCATCTGTGAGTGTGTGTGTGTGTGTGTGTGTGTGTGTGTGTGTGTGGACAGATGGAGATGGACAGAAACACATTCACAGGTAAATATAAATACATATAAACAGATAACGTGAGAGAGAATAGAGCAGAATAAAGAGATAAACATGCAGAAAAACTTTACTGGCTTCTGGAGGACTTGCTGGGTGATCAGGTACAAACATACTACAGGTGATCAGGTACAAACATACAGGTGCTGATTTGTTGAATTTTGGACAGAGTAAAGTTCATTTCCACCCATCAGGCACTGAACGCTAAAACTCATCAATTTGCCAGTGGAGTTTGGGAACATACAGTTTTGTCATTATTTTGTTTTAAATAAAGTTATTCACCTCACAGCAGAATGAATTTATGATGTCATGGATGGTTACATAGATGCTGCTGTCTGGATTATGACAAAAGTTCATAAGCTGGTGCGTCTTTTTTGTTAAGATAAAATAGCTAATTGTGATTTTTCTGGCAAACATGGTGACTGCAGTTCAACTTAAAGGATAACTTCGGTATTTTTCAACCTGGGCTCTATTTCCCCATGTGTATGTGTGCGTATGATTCATGGGTACTACTCGTTCTAAAATTGGTTCAGTATTGAGCCGCGAAATGAGCTAAAACAGCAACGGGGGCAAATGTGTCCCGTATAAAAGTGCTTTTTTTCGCCACTGACCGGTTCAGATCGCCACTGTTATCTCTGTAAATAGCATATGGTAGCAGCCCTGGGGCAGTGGTGAGTGTGAATGAGTGGAGTCAGCTGTCAGTCAGTGTTGGAGCAGAAAGGCGGAAGGCGTCCCCGCTCGGTAATGTAAATGAGTATGTGTGTGTGAAGTGTGTGTTACGCTAGAAGAGTCAGAGTTTGGGACGGAGTCTTTTACGTGCTACCCCCTGGAGTGTTACCGGAGTTTTTGGAGTGCTCAAATAAACGGGCCTTTTTCCCGAACACAAGAACAGGATGTCGTGCAACACCCCGTACATCTTTCATAGGCTGCCTTTGTCGGACGGCGAGATGCTGATTTTGTGGCTAGTTGTGCTACAAATGGATGCTAACACTCCTGTCCAGACTCTGTGCCTTGCAGACCATCTGGTCTGCAGTGCTCACTTCTCCCAAGATGACTACTGCCAGCCTAAGAAGAGTAGACATCCAATCCTGAAACACCTCTTCCTCAAGAAAACTGCTGTCCTACGAGTAGAGAGAGCTACAGACACAGTGGAGCAAAGCTCTCGTGAGATGACGTCACACAGCCCAGAGGTAAGGGAAACGCTTAGTATGCTATTTACAGAGATAGCACTGGCGATCTGAACCGGTCAGTGGCGAAAAAAAGCACTTTTAATGCACAAACTTATACGGGACGCATTTGCCCCTGTTACCGTTTTAGCTCGTTTTGCGGCTCAATACTGAACCAATTTTAGAACGAGTGGATCATACGCACACATATACATGGGGAAATAGAGCCCAGGTTGAAAAATACCGAAGTTGTCCTTTAAGGCTAATTCATTCTCCCTTTATGTACGATCACAGAGTACGTCTCTATCAGTCGTTGTGAACTGCCCTCATACGTCCACCTGTCCTTTATTTCAGCATAGACACAGCCAATAGATGGCACTAGAGGGTGGAGCCAAAAGTCTCACACAACAACAAACGAGGCGACAGTGGAGGAGGTCGTAATATTAAACCTTTCAATGGAGGCAGTGTTTAAAGGAGCATGGCGGTGGTCTGTAAGGCCGTATAAGAAGAAGAACTCGCTGGAAACTTGGTGTTTCTAGTGTTACAATGAGACGATCCTGCGCTGTTAGACTCCACTTTTCTACTTTTTAACACACATTAACTATGAAGCTTTGGAGTGGAGGACATGTTGACTGTTTACATGCAATAGAGTCTCCGGTTCACCGTCGTGCCAGTAAAGTTGTGAATGAACAGGTAAAGAGATAAGCAGACAGCAGAGAGCAGTAAAGACAGAAAATGAGTCCGTCTCCTACCTTCATAGGTGAGATGTGAGCGTGGGTGACGTATCCGTGCACATTCTCGATCTGGGAAAGGTTCTTCTCTGCTACCTGGACCAGCTCTGGCCCCCCCGCCTCCTCCGTCAGCTGGGGGGAGCTCTGGTCCTGGGGGGACGAGTCCTCATCGTGGTGCCTGTACTTCTGAAACAACAACACAAAGAGACGGTCACACAGTGAAGCCGGTTTCAGGTTTCCAGCTTCGTTTTTGGGTGGATGATGGTGATGACATCAAAAACTTCTTGTAAAAATTAAAAAAAGCTTTTCTTGTATAACACGATACTTAATAGGGTTCAAGAGGGGCTGAGACACTAAAGGTTTTGTGCTGATTTTATTCTTTCTCTTTCTTTTCTTTAGGAATGTTTTCACAAATTCCCATGAGATGGTCCATCATAGACGCATGAAATTTTCACCAGTGGTTGGACGTTCCTAAAGAAATAAAATGCCAATCAGCCAGATGTTTGCGCTACAATTTAGGCTCAAAATTTCAGTTTTGAATAAGCCACGCCCTTAAACCGTAAGTCGGATCAAGTTAAAACTGGACACACACGTCCAGCTCAATGTGCTCTACAAAATTACTCAAGAGCCAAGAAGGTCCGCCTGGAAAAAAAGGTCCAATCTGTACTAAATCATCTGCAGATCATTTTTGGACAAAGCCAATCAAAAGCTGTTGATGTCTCGTTGTGTTTTGATGATACTGACCAATGAACTTTAGAGGGGGCGGGGCTCATCACATAAATGGACCTTGCTCCTTCAATGTTTAAACAATCATCACAAAACTTGCAGGGAATGTCATAAGAGGTACCAGGAACATATCCTGAAAGTTTCATTTGAATTGACCACTAGGGGGCACCACACATATACAAAATGGGTGTGGGTAACACAAATCAGGCTATAAATCAGAAATTGATTGTCCAATTATTCCAAAACTTGCAGGTTATGTTAAATAATAAGGATGAATTATGTGTGTTATTCTGAAATCAGTCAATAGGTGGTGCCACAAGTTCAAAACAAGTGCAACGGCCTTTTGCATAACGTGGCCATAAATAAATGAGGGTTTTTTGAAACATCAACAAACTCAGTGAACTTTTTTAACTGAGCCATTAAAGCATGTCCCCAACATGTTTCTGCAGTTGACCAACAGGAAGCGCCAAAGTTTCCAAAGAAGAGCGTGGCCTGGTTGACATTTGTACGTCAATGAATGAGCAACTGAATGTCATAAAACCTGTTGGTAATCTTTAATGCGGGCGTTATGAACCGTTGATCTCACCCAGCTTTCAAAGGTCCGTGCTGGCTTGAACAGCGGAGTCGCTGCTTGCAGCTACATATTATCTTGTTATCAGAAGTTATATCATGAAAATATCTTGTGACAACATGAAATATCTTCTGATAACAAGATAAAGATTCAGGTATAACGATATATTTATTTATGTTCTTATAACATGAAGTATTTTCTGTCATTACAAGAAAAGTTTCTTGTTACAACATGAAAAATATCTTCTTATAATAAGAAACTTGTCATGGTATTATCTGATACTGATTTTTTTTCTGGCCTGAGAATTCAGTGCTTCTGTGTTTTAATTATTATTTAGAATTTAGCAGATTTATAATACAGACTTCAGTTCACTAATTGTTCATCGTGGAGAGACAAAAACAAAGACCGTGTAAGTCAAACACTCTCAGGTCAGAAACCGATCACCTGGAAGGAGGAACAACCTGCTGACTTAAAGAAGTCTGAAGTCCCAAATGTATAATTTTAACTTAAGTTTAAAATCCTTCATCGTGTGACAGCTTGTTTCTCTAAACGTGAACATGAGGTGACTCACAGTTGGAGCACTGCATGAAACTCTGCTGGTTGAATCATCAGAACAAAAGCTGTGTCAGGAAATATCTGCGTCTTTGATTAAAGTCAAAAAGGTGCAAGAAGCCCGTGGACATAAAACTGAAGGAGACACGTCAACTACGACTCCCATGGTGCATTTCAGAGAGAATCATCCAATCAAGAAGCTTTAAATTCAGCTGCATAAGTTAAATTAATTTACTTTGGATTCTGGGTCAAGTGTGGAGGAAATCTGTGACGTGCTTTGTTCTCTGTTTAAATTCTCTTCTGCTCTGATTCACACCTCCGATGGCTCCGGCTCCAGGGACGGGCCAGCTGAGGCTCATGGGTATTCAGCGTTTCCTCTAACTGCTCTGTGCTTCTCTGGTGGTCCAGAGAACCCATCTCTAATCTCTAATAAAGACAGATTCGAAATCAGAATCCGAAATGTGAAAAGAACATTTCAGGACGCAGCGACTCGTCCTGCTGCAGCTCTGTTCTCACTTCAAAATAAGAGGCAGGCTGTAATAAACTGTACACTTTAAAGGGACTGAAAACATTTTCCTGTGAGGCTTCACGTCTCCACAGCCTTCACATCTCGATGAGTCAGAGCTCCGAGTCTTACTCATCTGTTTTCTGGCTTTAAAAGCAGAGAGGTTCATGTTGACAGGTGAGTGACTCGGCTGTCCTCAAACTGTTACATCACCAGACTCAGACTGAGTGATGGACACCTTCCACGTCCCCTCCTGAGCTCTGCTCCACCGGACAGAAGGAAGGACGCCGTCCACTGACTGAAAGGACATTTGAGTCCGCTGCAGGGAGTGAATCAATAACATGTTTGATCACTGATCAGCTGCTCTCTGGTGTCGTCTCCTTTGATTTGTTTTTGGATCAACTGTGTTGCGTCTAAAGTTCTGTATGAATAAAGTTTGTTTATTTGTAAAGTTAAAGTTCCAAATATTCACCAGACAATTTGAAAATGATTATTAAACTCTTTTCAAAGATTTCCATGACGGCCTACAATGAAAAACATTCATAGACGACATTTAAAAACAAGAACTATGAAGAAATGTATTAAATTTGTCGTCAAGAAAACAAAACCACAAGATCGACACTTAACCAACATGTTAACTACAAACAAAGATGGCGTCAGCAGTGACCACGAGAGGCGTAACAACACACGTATTCATATTGAACTGTTCGATACGAGGCGTTCAGTTCAGTACACATTACGAAGCGAATGATTCTTTAAACCATCCTGTTACATCCGGAAAATAACATCTACAGCTTAAACAGTGTTTGATTTAATGTTGTCAACAAGACAGCCGACAGGACGGGACAGGAAACACGCCATCTGCCCCTCCCACCTCCTAACCATAACATTCTGCTGCAGTGAGACACACTGGGAGGCAGCTACGCTAAGCTAGCTTGTTACAAGACAGTTAGTGACACCATCACCAGACCAGAGATAAAAGATCCTCTGATAAACTACAGGTCTGGTGATTGAAGCCACATGGGTTTTGCTGTGAATCATGAGGATGATGACGAGACAGGATGGTGGATAAAAACACACCGAGCCAAAGAACGAGCCGCTGCACAGCTACAGACTCTCGTTAGCAGCTAATGTTAGCACAAAGCACACACAGCAGTGAGCAGGGTGGCAGATTCAGCCACAAGGACTGAAGAGTTTGTTAGTTACGGCTTATTAGCTTGTGTTTATCTGACTGTGACATTAAACAGAGATGATTATTCATGTGTTTATCAGACTGAAAGAGCTCAGAGAGCTCGTGGGACGTAACGAACACAAACTGACTGTGCGTCATTTGGCCCAAATAATGTGAGTCTTCATACATTAAAAAATACACAGCATACCACATGTGTATTTCAGATAACATGGTAACGGAGAATACACGTACACAACAAAGATATCGACAGCCTCAGAAACACTACAAGACATAAAAAATTAAAATGAAACTAAAATGTCAAAAATCAAATGACTGAAATGTGACTAAAATTTAAAAACAAAGAAATATTTTCATTTATATTAAAAAAGGAACAAAACTAACTAAGAAAAAACAAAATGACAACAGCTGATAAACATTTCTCCCAAATAACAAACACCAGAGATAAACCAGTGACAGGTGTGTGAGGTGGAAGTTAAGGAGCGATGCTGTGATTTAAATCTGGTGTTGAGTAACCAGAGTAAACCTCCGTTTGTGTGTCACTCATATCTTCCGTACACACGGTGATTAAAAACACTACAACTTTTCAGCCTGATTTCAGTCATCTGGAAACCTGTGTTGGGTTTGACAAACATTTATCCTGCTTTGCTTCAGTCGGAGGTTTCACCACAGCCAGACCTGCGGACAGATTAGTGAAACCCTGAAACGCTGCTGTAAGAACCTCTGAGGAAACTCTGAGCAGCGACTTCAAAGGGACGTTAATCTGCGTCTGAACAGGATTATCCTGCGTCTGATTGGCTGTGGGCCGGATCAGCTGGCAGGTTGGTGGTCCACAGAGGCTCCCACCAACTGCAGCACAGAAATAAACTATCGAAGTCTGAGGAGAAGGAAGAGTTTCATATTCTGCTCCCATCAAACAACTTTTCCTTTCTACATGCAGCCATGATCAAGATCGACAACGACCACTGTGATGACACGCAGTCGGCGCCATGTTCTTCAGCCATCCTGAAACCAGACACGAAACAGTGCAGCGCATCAACCAAACATCTGTAGTTTCCTAAAGATAAAAAGAAAAGTGATTCAGCCGAGGTGTTAGAAACACCTGTTGTATGATAAAAGTCTTTCAGTTATAATTACAGTCTTTAACGTACAGTGTGATTATTTCCAATTTACATCACATGTAACGCAGCACAATGACATCATCAGAGTGAACACGACGCCTGTGAAGTCAGAAGCCTTGGCGTTCTGCTGCAAAGAGAATAAATGTTCTCGCTATTATGTGTTTTCTTTCTTATTGTTTCAAACAGGATCATGCAAACATCGATCTCCCGCGGCCGTGCTCAGGACGTTCACTTTCTTTTTCATGTTAATAAATCAATTCTCTTTCTTGTGTTGCCATAAACAGCAGCCGTTACTCCCGTCTTTTACTTCTCTTCCTTCCCTCTGCACTGTTGCATAAAGAAGCTCAACACTTCAGCCCACAGTCTGTCTAAATGTTCCTCCTGCAGCAGCTCACAGCTCAAACTACAGGAGATATTTCTGGAAACACTGGAGAGGGATATTAACGCCCACTGGTAGAGAACTCCAGGAACAATCATTTCATGTTGTATGTTACACGGTCTGCAAAACACACGGACCTACAT